ATGTTTTCTGGGACCATGCGTCCTGATGGCAGGACGCATTATTTGACAAAAAAAATGTGCGTGGTCCCACGCGGCGGACAAGCAAAAATAGGCTGGTCGTCAACGTGTTAGGCAAGGGATTAATCCAACACAAGCAAACAATAATTCTCTTGTGAAAATAACTGGCACTTTTAGCGGCACCTGGCTGAATCAGCTCTCTATTCAAATGAATTATGTCCAAAACCAATCATGCTTTTCGGGGGATTAATTTTTATGGATGCCCAAAAAAACACTCAATTTTCAACAGGAGAATTGTACCAGTGGAATAATGGTCTTGGATAAAAAAATTAGATTCATTAGAAACTTGTATTCAGGAAAAAAACAGGTGATGTCACAAAGAGAAAGATTTGCACAATCAGATATCTTATGTATATTCATGATGGCTATGACAACATACCACATGTAATAATGCAAAATGCACTAAGATGTACCGATAGACATTTTGGTCCTGCTGTGAATGTGTTAACACATTCACTATCTAAGTTGACTAGGGTTGATTTACAAAACTCCTATTAAGAAAGCCATAGCCAACTATAGTCTATTTGAAATGTCATTCGCAAATAACCCCACAAAGTGTTCTGAGATGGTACAAAAGGTGATGTTGCTGGCATCCAGGGTTCTTCTCAGGATGCCATCTGACACTCACATTAGCTTTGAATTTTTCTACTCCTCCAGTTACCCACAACCTCACAGTTTACCAACTGCTTCAAATAAGCCACAAGTTGCAGTCATGTGCTCAAAATGAATGAGAGAGGATGAAATTGTGGGAAGAACTTTTAAATGACACAGATGCTGATATTGTGCAAGAATATGACACTGATTCCTTGCCTGATCAGGGTGAGGAAGTCGAAGGTGGTGCAGGTACATCCCACTCAAAGAAAATGAAGAATTGCCTAAAAGGTGCTGAGATGCAGCTCAACGAGATAAGGGAAACCCAATTATTGTTCATTCTATGAGGAGGGCCATTCCATCACACATGGTATCACCCTCAAGATGGACTGAGTATTGACAATTTTATATTTTAACTCTTCAAAGGTTGGGCCATAAATATTCATAACAAAAAAAGTCTTGTATTTTCTGTACTAATAATTTCTCAATTAAATCACAACAATACATAAAGACTCACTATAAATATTCACAAAATGTTTTCCATGTGTCCCTGTTCTTTATTGCAACCTGCAATATTTGAGTCTGCTAATGGATTACACTAGTTCCACTCCACTTTCAGCACCAGCTTTAACTGATTTAGGTTGCTGGATTTCGCTTTTGGGTACTTACTTCAAGCAGACTCCATGTACAGTAATCTACTGGATTAAGGCCACCATTCATGTTTTTTTAAATCATTTCTGCTACGTGGTAGGCTTTAGAATTTTTTGGACATCGAGCCAAGTGCTGTTGGAAATCCAAAGACAGGCCACCAAAGAGACACTGACATATATAATATCCCATAAGCTTGGAACCATAGGCTGTGCATTTTCTTCATGAATCGGATGATCAAAAATGAAGAAATAGTGCTATCTTAGGATGAGCAATTAAAGGTTGTGCCACTGTCCTGGGGGGGGGGGGGCACTCCAATAGGTACTGCCAAGTACCTAATGAATTAAACATTTGTATCATATAGGGTGACCTCTAGCATGGAAATGGTATCACTATGTATTGATACTATTTCGTATAATCTCAAAATCTGCATTTCTGAAAATGAAAAATGAACTATGTTAAAAAATAAATCCTACAAACTTTGGAGATTAACTCTGATACAATTGTCTGTTACTTTCCTGAAAGTCTCATTCTTTAAAAATTACAATTACATAAAAGCTCCCTGTAGGCATACACACTTGTGATAGCAAATAATAACTGTCCATCACTTTCCTGAGAGTCTCATGTAAAATGGGCAACACAGCCTCTTCGATGTTACAAAATGTCTATTGTTTCTTTAGGAGTGTAACAAGTTGTTCCATCTTGGGGAAGAATATGTTCTTGGAAGAAGATGATGGAAATTTTGCTCAAAAATTTTCCAAATCATGTCATTTCCTGGTTAGGTGAAATTGCATGACCAGCCAGATCACTAGACCTGTCTGACTCAGATTTTTACTTGTGGATCTACTTGAAGTCCCAAGTGTCCTAGAACTGACCACCAACTATAATGGCACTAAAGAACAACATCGAAGAGGCTGAGTGAGATACTCAGGAAAAGTAATGGACTATGTCATTATTCACAGTCACAAGTGTGTGGAGGGAGGTTCAGGGAGGTTGTCTTCCAGATGTATTTTTTAAAGAGTGAGACTTTCAGGAAAGTAATGGACAATTGTATCGGAGTTAATCTCCAAACTCTGTAGTTTGTGTTTGTAACAGTGCACTGTACATACCCATGGTGCCCAATACGTTCATCACTCACCACACGTGGCAAATCGGCCACAGACATATAGCAAATTGATGCTCTTCAACAGTTATATTTTTAATTCTAATTTCTAAACAATATTCACAATTTATGTTTTCCATATATTTTATATTATGTAGTGAATATGGTGACCTGATCGCCACAAGTTTGGCGAGCATCAAAATCCTATTGGACACCAATGGTATACACCCTGTATATTTGTAAATGTGTGCCTATGTCTTTGGACTTATGCGACACCCTGTAGATACCTAATTGTTTTTTTTTTCTATGCTTTTTTTGGGCATGCAGAAAAAAGAAAAGTTACACATGGTATGAATATTTATGGCTCACTGCAATAATGTGTTCGTGTGATTTTTCAGAATATAAAACCATACACATATTTTCATAGACCCCAAAAATTGACAACCGTCGAGCAATGATCCCAGTTTAAAGTTCAGACAGCAAATGTGTTAAGGTATGAAGTATGCCAGGTATGGATTGAATGCATGAGTGGGACCAGGAGTTCTAATAGTGGAACTTAGTGGCAAATGGAGCCTCTTGATAGCAAAAGTATTGCAAAAGCAGTGCCACTTTCTCCCCTACAACAATTAGCAATAGAGTAGGCTGAAGTATTTCATTAAAAGCTGAAACAGGTTAATTCAGGGCAAAAATCTTACAGGTCAGGATGTTCTTTGTTATCTCCTGTGGGAGAAGTGAGTACAGTCAGAAGTGATAGACTTACCATGGCAGCCCCAACAGCCAGGCCAGCAAAGCCAGACTCTGTAATAGGTGTGTCGATTACTCGCTTATCCCCATATTTCTTCCAGAGACCACGAGAAACCTTGTAAGCTCCATCATACTGAGCCACTTCTTCCCCCATGAGGAATACATTCCCATCCCTTTCCATCTCCTCATCCATAGCTGCATTCAATGCATCCCTCACTGTCATCTGCAAGTGATATGTCATAATCTCAACAATTGGTTGAATACAATTTTATATAGCACCTACCACTCAGAAGTCACAAGCCTACATAAAAATGGCAAGAAAGCAGTTACAGTAGGTGACCTACAGGAATAAGAATTTCTTCCTCTGCTATATTCAGTACTGAAAATGAGTAATGTTAAAGTTTGAAAAGATCAAGCTGTTGAGTAGGAAAACAGTATAGGTCTAGGGGAGCTGCACCAGTTCGTGAACAGGGATCCAGTTAGCGAACGAGGGTCATGAAATGCGATTTGGTCTTTTGTTTCTCGAGTTACACGCTTCAGCTTTTGGTATCTGCAGAAAATGGATTGATTGATTAATACTTGGGATGGAGAGTGAAACTAGAGTAACAAAAGGCCAAATCGCATTTCATAACCCTCGTTCGCTAACTGGCTCCCTGTTCACGAACTGGTGCCGCTCCCCTAGTCAAAAGATATCCATGCTGAAATCCAAGAGTTTTGACATTATTACTCACACCACAGAGAACCTTTCAGAGCCAAGAGCCTCTCTTCTGAATAAAACAGCCCAAAGACATGCTATGAGTATTAGTGTCATCCTATGGCTATATAAGAGGAGTTTTGAAAGTGTAAAAAATAAATGTGGTAGTGATCATGCTAACTTTTACTTGGGACATTTTGCAGATTATGCAGTCAACTCCACATATTGAAATACTCATGGGACCAGTGAACTTTATTCTATAATCCAGAGAATTCGAAAAACCAAAATTATTTGCTATATCATACCATAAATCAGGACCATGCAATGGTATTCAATGGTATATACCTCAGTAATATGCTTAGACCCTCTCCTAGACAAAAAACTAGTTCCCATGGTTCTTTTTTTCCCCATGGCTGCTCATCCTAAGGGAGACTCCCTAACAACAGGGATGGGGATAGATTGGTTGTCCATCAATACCACAAGGCACAGTGGAAGAGGTCCATGCTGCATTTGATAGAAGCCATGTCTATTGGGCGGCATAAGAACTGCAGGTTTCAAAGTCAACCATCCACAGATGCCTTGAGATTTTGACAGGACGACCAGTCCAGGGTTCATCAGCAACAGAGCCAGTTTGTTGAAAATTGTTCACAAGAAGTCAAATGTTTGCATCAGTTGGACCATCTTTTAAAAATCTCTGCTCAAACTGTGCACAATGGTCATTGTATGATAATCCCTTAAGCCATAATGTAACAATAGCTACATGTCCTTCTATGGTGAACATGGTCTGTCAAATTGCTGAAAATGGTATCCTGGGGTTACCACTTTGGATCCTGGGATGTCATGCAGTTCATGAGATCCTGTGTATGTATCTTTCAGATGGAACTACAATTTGCAAGAGGAAAACATAGTACCAGAAAAATAGATTGGGACTTTTGGGACACCCTGTCTAGTGTTGATCTCATGAGAGGCTATGAAATAATAACATGCAGTCCATTTTCTCTGGTTCCACCTACTCACCTGTGCACAATGAACAGGACAGGTTGAAAAAGACCTCTGCCCTTTTGAAGCTGGAGCACCAGGGAGTGGGGATGATGGATGCTGCATACATAGCAGTGACACAGGACGTAAGCATGGGCCAATACACGCCTGCAAGAAAGTAATTATTTCATTGTATAGAAACAGTAATGCCAAGAATAAAAGGAGAGCCTTTGGTAGGCCTAATGTCATGCATAGCCTCTGCCTTTACATGAGCTTCAAGAATGAAAGGAAGAGGCTAAGGATTTTCCAGGACTGAATCATCTGCATTATTTCTTCACCAACCTAAAATGTGCACATTTGAGGAGGAACACACCCTCTTCATCTGCCTGGTTGACTTACCCATACTCATTGCTATGGTCAGCACTTCCTAAAGTATTAATCCCAATGATTCCCTTCTGGTAACTTCATGTTGATCAGTTGCGCAATTCCAAAGTTACTGACGTAACACCAGACTCCAAATAAAAACAAATATGATGGTATACCTTGAATATAGTTTGGTCCAGATATCCTACTCCAAAAATATAGTATGGAACATAAATATTTGTATCTATTAAAGCCAAAATGCCTAATTTCTCCCACGGATGAAGAAAAGTAAGGCCATTCAATTTTTGTTACTAACATAACAAAGTTTAGACCAGTGGTTCTCAACCTTTTTAATGCTGTGATGCATCAAGTCCTCCTCCCATATTTATGTGACCCACAAATTTGAAAGGTCCAGAAATAATGCAGCTGTGTGACTGAAAGGAAATTGATAGAATTTTTCAAATTTGAATATGACTCTTTCAATATATTGCTCTGGGCACTAGTGATTTCATCCTTTTTCCTTTCTGCTTCCTCTGAAAGAACTTGACTAGTTTATCCTCCAATGTTGGGTGATTTCAATCTAATTGCTGCTTCAATTTTGAAGGCTTCAAGGATGCATTGGCCAGCTGTTCACCTTGTACTATGCATTCTGGTTTCATATTTTGACACTGAAACCACACTTAAGGCATGAACCATTATACTTACTATACTATACGATACATTATACTAGGATTGGTACAAGTTTTGACTTTTTTGCCAACTTCTGTCCCAGTGACTTCACCAGGGGTGCTACCATTAGTACTTGTGCTTGCATTCAGTTTTATCAGGAAAAGATTGATAGGCATAGGCAAAAGGACATTACCTAGTTCAGACCCTAAAACTGAATAAAGCATATTTTATTCACATTAACATCCTTTGTACAGCTCAAAAAATGAATTTATTATTCAAACATGAATAGTGAGAGAAGATATAGAAGCCTTTATGTCAGTGGTTCTCAACCTTCCTTTTACTCCCATTGAATCTTCATGCATTTGGGGGGGTGACACCTCCCAGGTTGAGAACCACTGCTTTATGTAAACAATGCAAGACCATTTTGAGTTTGTCACAAGATAATTCACTATGAACTAAAGAAAAACAGATGGAAACAAAACATAAAAAATTTCAGGTAACATTACTTAATACCAAAATCCAGCATGACATCTACCTTGCAAAATTTCTGGCAAAGTTTTCATTAATTCTTTAATGCTCTGGATTTGTAGTCACATGTCCGTTGACCTATAACCTCTTTATTTGACAAATAAACCTATCAACATCTTGGATTATTGAAAGGCACATGATCTAAAACTCCAGTAGTGAATCCATACCAAGTCATCATTGACCAGCCCAATGTCACAAATATTGCCATACTTTCATGAATTGAGGGCTCAATTTGAAATCCCAAACTGGAATTTTCCAGTTGGACAGAAGCTGTATATTCAGGCCTTTTCCAGTTGGCAAAGAGCTGAAAAATGGTAGATACAGGCTGTTTTACAGCTGGAAATTCACCATTAGAATTTTATGTAGAGGATCCCCCTGTTGGAATACAGCTGAATTAACAGTTGAAATTCAGCTGCTTCAGTATATGGACCTCCAGCAAGAATAGTCAACAAAAACATTCTCATTCCACCAGTGTATTGTAATTAGGAACAATCTATATCTGACTTTACTTTCCAGCTGCTACCCAGTTGGAATGGGTCTGAATTTCAAAATGGGGTCCAGCTAGAAATTATAGCTGTTTCCAACTAGGATTTTAAGCTGGGGGGGGGTTCGAAATCAAACTTTTGGCAAATTACTTTAAAGGATACACATGGCTAATACTTCATGTAAAATATAATGGGTACATTAAAAATTAATTGAAGAGGCATATTTCACAGGGAGAGGGCAGGGGGGTGTGCCCCCCCCCCCCGGCATCCCTGGGAAGGGAGCTTGGCACCCCTAATCTGCTGCTCTGTGCCCCCTGACTCTTCAGCCAAAATACACCACTGACCTCATGAAATGTTTTACTTACAACTATAAGACTTGTCTATGGATATTCACCACATATCAGACATGATGCCATTTGCCCATCACACTTAATATTGCAATGCACATAAAACATATACACCATACAATTGTTAATATATGAATACATGTATAGTGGTATATGGCAAATATATGATCATACATGACCATATAGAATCATATACCCTGTCATATGTGGAATTTTCATGTGGGTACCATGGTTATACTAAATACAAACCACAGGATTCACTCTCTTCCAGATTATTTATGTCCCTCCAGTTTTGGAACTCTAAGCCACTAATGCCCTTTGTACAGAGATGCCACTAATGCAATGTCACAGAGACCAACTTCAACTTGCTGAACCAACTTGCTAACATGCAAGAAAATGTTCCTTTTAGGTGATGCAACTTTTACATGTCTAGATGCTCAGAGTATAGCTCAAATAATTTTCTCCCATTACTTCCAAAGAATTGATTATTTCTATTCTCCATCCAGCCACCTGTCATAATGAAAGAAGCAATGATTTATTTGGTCTCATCGGACATTTTCTATTGACTTCTTCATCCACTCAGTCCAACTTTTCCAAATTTCAAATAAAATTCCAAAATTTTCAGTCAAATGAGTAAATTTGGAAATGTAGGCCAAGCACCTAGAGATAATTAGTAAACAAAGTAGGGGCAAAGTATTTTGCAAATGGAATTGCACATGTACCCCCCTCCTTGGACATGCCACTGGAGTGGCATGCCCAAGGGGGGGGGGGGGGGGTTATGGGGGTTATAACCACACAACCCCCCCCCTGCCCCCTTTTGGATACATTTTACAGACTTGATTCTCAAAAATCTTTTAACTTATATATCCAGGGTGGGTTACCAATTTTTCATATGTCACCATGGGATTTTCTGGGCTTACTACCGATGCACTCCATAGGCCTGACATATCTTATCATAAGAAATAAGCATGCATCAAAAATATAACATTGCACAATGAAAAAGGCAGAATGGATTTATCTGCAAAACAATGTATGCAGTCATACTGAAATTACCATTCCTGATTCATCAACATCATTTGAATAAAATCACATTCTAACATGGGGCTTGACATTCTATAATCAAGTTCCACAAGCTGTTCACTCTCTCTTTGAGTCTTCTATCTCAAAACACATCAATTTCTGTCTAAATTCTTACCCTCTCTATTCTTACTGACTTTTCTGGATCAAATTGGGATTTGATTAAGTGCTGCAAGTGATAATTAAGATCAATCAGACACAGTTCATTGTGTATCAAGTGTAGCCCTACGACATCCCTTTAGTGTATTTGTCACTGCTGAGTACTCTTTATGCAGTCAAGTATATTGTTACGTCTCGACGAGCAACATGCCCCAATGAGAGAAAATAAACTGAACTGGAGATTACCTATCTTGAACGGAGGACTGCAAATTCAAAACAGTCTTGGGCAATCAGGCCAAGGCTATGAAGCTGTTCCACAGCGAATTTGTCAATTTTAACTTCTTGTGTTTCGAGAACTCGGTACAAAAAAGACGAACCTTGGACGTTGATAGAGAGGTGAAGGCCTGAAATGCTGTCCTGAAGGCAGCCATATTTATACATGCTATGCCTCAATGCGATATAGTTGGATATCACGAAACCACATTTGATTTTTGCTTAATAAATCTGTTCCTGCGGACGGATCATTGCGAAAACTTGGCAGAACGTTGTCAAAAGTGTGTTTCACCATCTGAAAAATTCATGCATGAGCATGAATTTCAGGGATTCTCATGCAAATATGGATTTGTACCTCGCAACGGCAGTCGCAGGCCTGTTCACTCAGAATGTTTACTGGTGTGACAAAATCTCCCATATCTCAAGAATGGTTATTTTCAAGCGCATTACACTTTAACAGTTCTAGAATAATATAATTGGAGACGTTCCATTGAATTTTTTAAGTCTATCCATTCAAAAATATGGATTTTATAGCCAAATGTCAAGTTGGTTACTTTTTTTGGGCCAACCCCGCTTATAGGTGAACCCGCATTAGTGGTGAAGCATGCTCTTCATTTCACTATACTTACACTCTGTCCCGAAAAATTTTGGAACCTTTTACAATTTTTAACCATTCGTAATTGGTTCAGGCTATCACTGTGCGCCTTTGTGGGTTGACTAATGCATCAAATGAGCACATGCATACTAAGTTATAACAATATCCATATACTGGTTCTTGAAATACAGGAGGTGTTTCAGAACGTGCCAGCAGTAAGGGAGTGCCGCAAAAGCTGTACGAGCACATTAGTCCAAATTCAGTATAATACCTCATAGAGGATGACTGACACGATGCACACGACCAAGATAAATGCATTAATCGTTCCTGTTTGACACTCGGATGAGGTGTGCTCGAAGTTCTCGCCGAGCCATTCTGTGAAGAGGCACGTGACATTGATCGAAACCCAAACGCTGCTCGGTTCACATTCTCCTAAGACGGGGGAACGGCGACTTCCACTCTCTGACTGGCTGTGCTCGCACCGAGTGCGGCCGGCGGCAATGGTCTGCCGCAACCTTACTTAGAATAAGCTGCTGCATCTCCGAAATGAACAGACGGATTTTGATACAACTTTGCGTGCATGTGCTCATTTGATGTCTTAGTCAGCCCTCAAAAGCGCACAGCGATAGTCTGAACCAATTACGAGAAGCTACAAATTGAAAAAGGTTCTAAAATTTTTGGGGGGCAGAGTATATATACAGGGTATTGTATAAACAGGGTGTTTCGGAATTCGAGCAACTGGAAATGGCAGTGAAATAACGAATGCTTTCGAGATTGAAATATTCGTGCTTAATTTAACCTCATATGACTTAGAAACTCTAAAATCAATCGTTGTTTACCTGGTACTCCGGTTATTTGCCATTCATATCAGGTGTTCGAAGAGTTACCATTGACTGGCAAGCAGTAACCCAGGAAATTCACATCAGAATCGTGGGATCATGGTTCACCATATCTATTCCACCCAGCGCAAGTACACACAATAATATCCCAGGGATTCCCCCTAGCCACAAGTGAGAAGCCCCAGAGATAACTACTAGGGATATAAAAATGTCTGGGAGCAAAGACACCCCAAGGATGTCCCTTTCTTGCAGAACAAGTATATCCCCAAAATGTCCCTGACGATGAAGATATCACCTAGGGACAAGCAAAAGTCTGATACAACTTGGGCAGACATCCCAGCGATATCTAAATATCTGGAGACCTTTCTTTCTGAAACGAACTCATTTCCTGCCATAAAGGACAAACCTCTATTTTCTAAGATGTCTCTACGTGATCTAAGACTCCGCAGTCTCAAATTCTTGAGTGACTAGAGATCAAAGGTTAAATGAGGGGAAACATCCTTTGCTTAAAAGACTCCAACATATGAGACGCATCTCAATGAGGTAAAACTCAACTCTGATTCTAAGAAGTCGCTTGGTTTCGCGGATGAACTAAGAAATGGCTGACGCATAGGCTCAGATTTCTAACCAGGATAGTGGTACCCAGACATGCCGCTCAGACATCGTTAATGAGAATATAACAGAATGGATTAAAATTAGGACCTTTTTTTTTTTTCACTTTCCTCAGGGGTAGTTTTCCTTTATGTACGGTACGAAAATAATTTCTTCTCTACTGCGCCAATCAAGTTGACAAAATTCATAGAAAAGATCTGAGATTGGAGATCAAGGCCCGTGGGAGACATCTAACGTCAAAGTTATGCACCTCGCTGAAGGTGACAAAGACGACTGAAGATGTCTTTAAGACATCTCTAGGGGGATATCCAGAAGCATCCGACTAAGGATGTCTTAAAGATATCTCTTTCAGGATATCGATAGGAATTCGAATGAAGATGTCTGAAAGACGTCTCCACGATGTCCCGAAGATATCCCTTTCGAGATGTCGAAAACCGACCGACTGAAGATATCCTTAGGACGTCCCATGAAGACCTTGGGACAAGTCGTCCAGTTGGGGACATCCTTGCGATGCCACTGAGCTGTGTGGGATATCTTACGTACATTTTCGAATCCGATTACCCCAACTTAATGGGGTCGCGGTTCAAGCAGATCCAGGAGCATATTCCAATATTCGTGATCCTGGGCAAGGGACTCAAACCCGGCTGGTGGTATATCGAGCCCCTCGTGATTCGCGATGCATAAAATTCCGACCACCTTGCACGAGGCCTACCGACTGGTCTTCTGCCGATCATTTTAGAATGGAAGATTCTCTTTGGGAATCTCTCGGAAGGCATGCGAGAGACGTGTCCAAACCAACGGGCTTGGGAGCGCTCGATCCGAACGTGTAGCTGCTTGACCTTGAGGTCCTCACGGATGGCGACACCCCGCATCCTCTCACTTGACGTAACAGCAGGCACCCACCACAAGAACCACATCGAGGCAGCATGCTTCGGTGATCTGATTCTTTCGATCATTATCCACAGTTCGTGACCTCAGATGGAGGTGGGTAGGTAAACACTCTCAAGTTTCGCCTCGGAAATGTCAGATTTGACAACTACAGTCCTCCAGAGTTCCCACAAAACTGAGGAAACCCCGGAGATTCGGCAATCGACCTCCTTTTTGTACCGCCCACAACTCAAGAACCAGACACCGCAGTACTTAAACTTCTTCCATTGGTGCCCCCCTTACATGTAAGATGCACTGTTCAGGACGTTTAGAGATGACCATAACCTGCGTTTTGGGGACGTTCCATTTCATTCCGGCCGCAGTACATTCCGAGTCGAACCAGTCCAGCACGCCCTGAAGCTCCTGTCGAGGTGGGGGTTAAAAGAACGACAAAGAAAGGTACCTTTACCTCGATACCACCGATGCAGACACCCTCGAGGCCCACGTATGTAGGCTACTTCTACATACGAGCTATATTACCCATGCACCAGAGGAACAGGAAAGGAGAGTGAACGCAATCCTGACGGAGTCCAACACGTACCGAGGACGAGTCCAAACTCATCCCGTTCACCCGAAAGTAGATCCTGCAATCACTCAATAAGCATTGTATGGCCTGCAGTAGCTGACCGTAATTCCCATATTCCTGCAGCACTCCCCACAGCTTCCCTCGAAGTACACGGTCGTTTTGTCTTTTCGATATCCCCATACACATATAAACCTCTCTGGAATATACCCAATGCCTCTCGAGAATCTACCTGTAGTATAAAGTGAATTGGTGGGTGGTGCTGCACCCTTCGCGAAAACCACACTGCTCTCCTTGGATGGCTTCTCAAAAGTCTGCACGCGAGCTTTTTTCTATCACCTTGGCATAGACCTAACCAGGTATGCTGAGGAAAGTGATACCACGGTATTTGGTGCTCTCCCTCGAGTCCCCTTTCTTAAAAATTGGAACCACAACACTGGTCTGCTAATCCATTGGTGCTTCCCCGAACCACCTGCAGTTCGACATAGCCCATCCAACCACGAGCACCCATCGATGCCCATTGCTTTCAGGGTCTGTGCCCGGATTTCGTCCATGCAGGAGACTTTCCGTTCTCCAAATTAGCCAAAGGTTGTTGAACACCCTTCACGGTGAGACTATCCTCCGAGATGGGCTCCGAGTAGAGTACATCAGAGTCCACCATGGGAGAGTTTAAAAGCTCCTCAAAATGTTCCTTTCATCTTCCAAGGACTTCCTCTTCGGCAGCCAAGACATTCCCGTTTCAGTCTTTCACGACCAGGAGAGGATGTTGCCTGCTTTGCTGGAGCCTTCGAATGGTTTGCCAGAACAACTTAGCGATGCAAAAGTCTGGCGCCATTTCTTTGCCGAATTTCTTCCATGCCTCTCGTTTCGATTCGGCTACGGTTCGAGCAGCAGCTTTCCATAATATCTTCGCAAAATTCTATCTTCTGTTCTATATCTCTTGGCTTCAAAGGATTTTAACGAGTACTATCTTCCCTCGGCTGATTTCGCGTGATGTATCTCAAGCCTCTTTACACAAGTCAGACACAGCCTCAGAGAGCACATGCCATAATAATTCATCTCCAATAGAGATTAACCTGTTTCAGAATCAGATACTGCAATCAGAGCATCATAATTTCACATTTCCGTCATATCTGTTCATTAATTACATAATAAAAAGAGGAAGGGGTTAAGAATCGCTTTTGTGTAGGACATATCCAAGGCCGTATTTAAGGGGGGGGGGGGGGGTTCATGGGGTTCAAATCTCCCCCCGAAATTTCTTCCTTAAATTTGTGTCATACCGATATTCGTCGGTGTAAACGGTGCAGTACTTGGTCTTTTCTATCTTTAATAGCTTATGACTTATTAAACACTGCTACTTGCAGGAAAATCCAGATATGTCGAAAATACTTACAATGACAAGCATAAAAAAAATAGCCACAGCGCGTACCCCAGACCTCATCCCCCCCTCCCCCCCGAAATGAAATCCTAGATACGGCCCTGGACGCTCGCTAGATGGTATCCATGTTCCCCTGTGCTCATCTAGTGAGCTTGGTACTTCATTATGATCATGCCTGTGCCACGCTACCCTGGTATCACAGAACATCGAAACAACATTGATTCAATGTTCACCTTCAACCCTCAACATGTGCAAACTCAATCCACATACAATCAATGGGCGTTTTTTCCTCCAGCCACTAGCAGCTGCTGGCGAAAAGATGCGATGGGGCGTGTCTTTTTCTCCAGCCGCTAGCAGCTGCTAGCGAAAAAGACGCGTTGGCTAGGCACGACCACGTCATCGAATGACGTCACTCTTGGGCAAGCAGCCGGCAGCGGAACATAGCGAACTATGGGAGCNGACCACGTCATCGAATGACGTCACTCTTGGGCAAGCAGCCGGCAGCGGAACATAGCGAACTATGGGAGCGCTGAGCAGCTCAGCCCTAACATGACGTCATGGGATGCTGGAGGCCTCAGCAGAGCTAGCTGAGCCGCTGAGAAAAAAGACACGCCCATGGCTAGGCACGACCACGTCATTGAATGACGTCACTATTGGGCAAGCAGCTGCCAGCGGAACATGGCGAACTACGATAGCGCTGAGCAGCTAAGCCTTAAAATGACGTCATCGGATGCTGGAGGTCTCAGTAAAGCCAGCAGAGCCGCTAGCAAAAGGACATGCCCAATAATGATTCAATGTTATGCGTTACCTGGGACTCTAGGTGTCTCACATCGAGCTTTGTCTGGAGAGGCTCAGTATTCCACGAGCTGAGCTTGAGTGTTGCCAAGGATTGGGAACTTACCCATGACTTCTTTAAGCGCCTGCTCAAAATGGTGCTTGGCGGTTCCAAGCAGGGGGAGTCATAAGAGGGTTGAAATTCTCAGCGCAGCAGAGCGCACCTATGATAACGCATGCGTTATCAAAACATCCATTTCACAAAACCAAATGTTTCCCACAGATCTAGCCATTACCTTCCAAGCTCTCGCGGCGGTAGGTTACTCTCTCGCTCCCTTAACTATTCATTCCTCTTCATCGATTTCCTATTGACGAAACAGAAGCACACTGACTATGTAGTGGCTTTCTTTTGTATTCCTTTGACTTTTCTGAGTATCAAAAATGGCCTTTCTCACTGCTGGATTCATCTCCTTCAAACTTTTATCACTTGCAGAAGCTTCAAAGGCCTCCTCAAGCCTTCGGCCGATTGGATGAGGATGTTGTCACTCTTGACCAGCATTTCCGCCAATGGAATGGCGATGGCTTGAGAAGAGGACCTGGATTGATTTCAAATATGTGCAAGAGTGCTTCTAAAATATATCCTAAGATCCTTAATGAGGCTCTGCAGTTGTTTTTGCGTTGCAGGACTTTCTTCCGCATCGGAACCATGAATGAAGGAGCAAACGATGCTCGGAGGGAGAAAAGAACTACGAAGATGAAGTATTTTCACTCTTAGGTGATTATCTGTGTAGGAACATCTACAGAATTTCAAATGAGTGCAAGTTGCTCAACTTGAATGATCAAATAGTCCTTATAATCCGTCTCCGAGAAAATAGGAAATCAAGGACTTTCTTAGGGCCCTAGTTGTTCCAAGCCAGCCTCTAGGTCACTATATTTGTCTCTCTGTAAACCATTTGCAATCCTCTCCACTTCACTTTACAATCAATCTCGCAAATTTGTGCGCAATTGTGTTTTTACATATTTGTAGATACTAGAAAGTCGGGGGAAAAAGGATGGAAAATGTGTAGCAGGGTACAACGCCTCGCACTGACACTGCAATCGTCATTTTTCGGTGGCTACGGTCGGCTTTGGCAATGGGAGAAAATCCAGCTGCGTGAAGGAGCATAGGTGCGCTCCTTGACTAACTTCTCTCGTCGCCGCTTACAGGGTGGACGGGATAGTCCCGTCCTATCGCATATTTTTGACAAAATCAAATTTCGCGGTAAAATTATTGATTGTACGAATGTCATAAAGAGGAGGGTGGCTATATTGAGTATAGACTCTGGGCTACAAATCTTGTTTGAATGCGGTTTTTCGAAAACCGGACCGTTTTCGAGATAAAGGAGGGAGAAGCGAGGCAACCCTTCGCGGTCCATTGTTGAGTACTGAAGCACGTAGCATTGTTTCCCGAACTCAACTGCTCTCCGTCCACAGCCAATCAACGCACAGCTGCGCATAATCCACTTGGACTCCGTATACCACAGGCATAAGGAAGAGCCTCATATACCTCGTACAGGGTGGACGGGATAGTCCCGTCCTATTGCATATTTTTGACAAAACCAAATTTCGCGGTAAAATTATTGATGGTACGAATGTCATAAAGAGGAGGGTGGCTATATTGAGTAGATGATGTTTCCCTGCATGTCCAGCAACATATACAAGCTGTAAACTGTTGAAATAAACGTTTTTTTTTTTACATAAAAGAAGTGTTCTCATCGCATAAATATCGCATAAAATAGGACGGGACTATCCCGTCCACCCTGTATGGACATACCTGCTCTCCTCCACGCGTCCTATACACTCCACGTACCTTGGTTCCAAGTGTGTCTTAGCTGTGATGGCTGGGCCCTAACTGGGAATAAGTTACACTGCCTTTCGATAACAATGATGGTTGTTTATTTTCCAGCTGGCTTAGGGTATCAAGTCAAACTTCAAGTGAACATTCAAAGGCAAACACTGGCTAACACGTGAAGGGCGACCACTTTCCATTAAATAAATGCTTTGCGTATGCAGCTTGGTTGACAGTATGGCGGCGCACAGTAGAGAACACGTGCCCATTTTGGCCACGGATGAGCGTAGCTTCTTTCTGTGATAATTCATGGCATTTCAGTCAGTGTCGGCCTTAAGCCTACTTATAGGTGATTTATACAGATCCAATAAAAAACTTAACATTCGATTCTATGGACGTGTTCACTGGAATTCAGCCTTTGGGTAACACTTATGATAGGAGGTATCACTGATTAAGAAATCCAGTAGCAAGTACTGGAGTCCGGTAAAATAAAACTTCGTCGAAATGTTCCTCATGTAAGAGGCTTAGATAATGTAATCTTCTACGTTAAAAATAGATCTATCTTATATCTTTAGAGGGCTCCTGCAATTACCCTCTTGCATAACCATTAAATTTACTTTCCACCATGCATTGCTCACCCATTTTTTTCACAACTTTTTCTGGAAATAGAGTTTCTTACCACTATGTATTTCTTTATTTCAAACACTGACCTCTATTTTTGATAAGATGGTATGACAATGTCAGCATCACAGAAAATATTTGTTTTAACCTGAGGAGGGGAAATCTTGCCACATGCTACAGTGCCCCATCTGCCACCTGTAGACAGACCACAGTTGCCCATGTGTGGACGCAAGACCTAGTGTCAGAATCCTAAAGGAAGGACCCCAACAACTAGATACTGTGGGACTTTCACACCACTAAAACCCCTCCTCACTGTGGCTACCACTCACATAGAGCGATCATGGCTGTGGAGCCTTGATTCCAGGATCACAGAAAATATTTATTTTCTTTCCTCTTAGGCTGCTTAAAGCACCACCAGTGGCAGAAAATTAATGCAGATGTTTCAAAGAATATCTTGGTGCAAAGCATGTGGTGCTATCTGTTGTAATTTACTGAAAATATATTAACCAAGTTCATGATGTGTGCTGCTTGTCAAAGTTTGTCAAGGGGTTAATGACTAAATGCTCTTGGTATGTTGTGATGGTCACTTTAAGAAATACAAGACAGTCATCACAAGGTGTGACCTACTGTATGGCCTGTGACCTACCACCACACTTTGGGTATGAGGTGTGACCTCCGCAATTTGCATGGTCTAAAATACACCCTTTTTTAAAATGATTTTATCATACAATGCCACAGGATTGCAAATTTCAGCATTTGACTATTGTCAAATTTCACATTAGATTAATTTACAAATGTAGACTTGACATCCTGAATGAATGCCTCAAACTTGTTGTTTGTGGGGTTAAGGCCATACCACCAGGCCTCAATGAGGTGCCTTGGCAGAAGCTCAATGGATTTTCTTGAGCTTGATCTCGCAAAATGCCCTGTTCTTGGAGCCAGCTAACTGCACTCTCCTTACTACTGACGATTGGCTTTGCATTGTGACAACTGCTGATAGAGCAACACACTTCTATATACCCCAATATGCATGTGACCCCACCCATGGGCTTCTGTTCAGTGACACTGACAGGCATATTTGGGGCATATTTGGGAAGAGGGGGGAAGGGTTGAGTTTGAATAGACATCTCCCCCCCCCCCCAAATTCACCTGCGCATATATCTGTCAGGTCATCACGCAGTGTTGTTGCTACAGTGTAGTGTAAGACACCACCCCACATAGTAGGTCACACTTCATATGACTACTGAAAAGACTAACTAGTAGTGTGGTGATAAGAGAGGGGATTGATGTTTAATCTGCCTCTTTAATACCTTTCACTTCCATACTTCTGTGAATCAGATTTCATCACTGGGAATGCCTTTTGTAAGTGCTCAAGTGAATCTGCTTAGTTCACAGCCTGCAGGATTTTTGTCATGTTTATAAACAGCATGGGAATGAATTGAAAATGGGAATTTTTAATTTTATTTTCAGGATTGCATAGCCTCTTAGGTAACCATATGAATTGATGGTGTCATTCATGATATTTCTGATTAACAGCAAAAAACACTGCTTTTAACAATAAGTTTGGCAGAACTCATTCAGAGAGAAGAAAATAAGTTGTTGGTTAATGCTGGAAAACTTAGCTGACATGACTGCTGGACTGCTTATGTTCAGTTGCATTCAGCAGGGAATTCTCAAAAGTGTAGAATATGGTGAATTATTAAACATATGTAATTCAGTGATTTGGCTGCTTTTTCCAACTGATGGAACGTTTCAGAAGAAAAATTCATTCCATTCCTACTTCATTGCCTGGCTCTCCCTAACCCATATGAAGTGTCATTCCTGATGGGGACCAAAGTCATTTCATGGAATGTGAATGGGATTAGGACTCAAAAGGACAATCTCAGCAGTATACTGAAGCAGCTGGATGCAAGTGTCATATGCTTCCAAGAAACTAAAATATCACGTAAGTTTAAAAAACCCTAACTAAGGATTGAAGAATAAATAACCTTGTGCTGCTGACTTAAAATTACATAACTAGAAGCCCCAAACCTTTAGGTACAAAAATATTAAGAGTCATGAGGAATGATATCCCTAAAAGTAAAGGTGGAGACTTTGGGGTGGAAGGATCACCTGCAAGGACATAAGGTATTCAAAAGTATACTATAAAGTATACTGTACCATGTACTTCCTGCTAGTCAAGTTTCACTATTCCTAATGATGGTGTTGAGGACAATAGGTACAAAAGTCTTGATACCATAATCTTGAGAGCCATGAATGTATTGTCCTCTCATGCTTTCATGTCCTCTTTCATGTTCTCATGTCCTCTCAGGCATCATCCTGAGTATGTACTCATCATGCAGCTGCCTGCTGGGATAATGCAGGCAAACAGGGTGGTAGCATGGCAAGTATATACTTGGAACACTGTCAAAAGGGTTAAAAGAATTTCACTGCCCTAAACATAATATTTATGGTTTGGCTTGAGAGAGGGGGGAAGATGGTTATGATCCTCCTTGTAGGTCCATAAAAATTTGACTGCCAAGCCCAATTTTTGGTTTAGTGAATTGTTGTTCCCTAGGCCAATTGACTTTCTGGCTAAACCAATTGTCTAAAATTGTGCCCTTAATGCAAGCCCTCAAAGTGCATGGAGGATGTCATAATTTTTTGTAAGTTGGCATGATGATGTACTGTGGCCTTAGGAGGCCACAGTACAAGTACAAAAGCCATAGACTGTGGCCACAAAAATATAGAACATATATAAGAGTATGTTCAGCAGATGGCCAGCTGGCAGGTCATACAGCCTCACCTGAAAAATGGGCTAAGACCCTTGGCAGGTCTTATGAGAATCAAAAGTGTTAAACATACCTTGTTATTCAACTCTAGTTACATAAGTGTAGCCAGTAAGAGATGCCTCTACTTTCATATCAGCCAGACTACCAGATAGTTTCAAGATTAGCACTAAGTATGGTTTTAATTGATGTTGATCCCCTTTTGATAAATACTTTTTAGTTGTCATTACAATTGAAAAACTAACCCTGCTTCCAAGATGGCATATTTTTTGCTGGCTTATTCCTAAAGATGCTTTCACTAGATCACCATGACAAGTTGTCAACAAAAATTTGAAATCATGTCATAGAGTTCTCTTTTTTTTTTTCCCTACAGGGGATGCTCTAGATGGACAAACTGCTCTTGTAGATGGTTATGTCTCTTTCTACTCTTTCTGCCGTAACAAGAGTGGATATTCAGGTGAGAAAGCATGCCTGCTTAGCTCCTTCACTTAGTTCAATAACCCTTTCTGCTACAAAGGATATACTGGATGAGGTATAAAGAAAACACACCACTCTTTGAAATTATTTTACATATATAACAACAGATAGCAGAGCATAGGTTTCTTTTTTTTGCATTGACTTCTACCTATTCTCTAACCTTCTCAAAATTATTTTCTGTTTCTCTCCTGCAGTTTTACCACATGCATGATTTAAAAATGCAACTCTAACTTTTATTTTTGTTTGAGAAAAAGTATTAGTGGGAAAGTGGTTAGTGCATGAAGTCTGTACTAATTTTGGGTCAGTATTCCTTAGTCTGTGAAGATGGGACTCCACATGTAAAGCCTGTGACTTGATAAAATATTTGGGCATGGAAATGATTTTGGAAGAATTTCCCAGTAAGGAACAAAGGAAATGTATTGTTTACAGATCAATTCAACAACTGCAGGAAGTTGGTTAATCAGAGGAAGAGGCATACCAAAATTAGCTTAAACTCAAGGAAACTATACTTGTATTGGAGAAGTTATTGTTTCCCAAGATAATAATCCAGAGATACCCAAGTCCCAGCTGCAAAAAGCCTGAGATCAGGGGTGAATCAGAGATTCATTCAATGGATTCTCAAGTGCAAAAATAATATTCAGATTTTTTTGTGATGTCACTGGTATGGTAAAATGGCAGGAGATAAATAGACAAAATGTTTAGAGTATTTAGAGAATAGATAAAAGTAATTATGAGAAAACCATTGCATTTTTTTTTGTCTCTTAATTATCAATTAGTTTCAAAGAGCAGCATGTTTTTTTTTTGTCACTCCTGGTTTAATACCTCAAGTTGCAAAATTATTTTCTAAATTAGGGTGAGAGTAAGTATGAGGTGCATTCAAAAACTTCTTATTTTTACATTTTTCCAGGAGAACTATAAATGGATACAATCTTTTTTTTTCTGAGCCCTTGAGAGTTTGGATGTCCATGTTGCAAGAATGAACCACACTGATTCATAAGGCTGTGGTATTTCAGGTTCTACCATAATTCAGGGGCTTCTTTGAGGGGTGACCATGATGAACCAAAACAGGCATGACAAGTTCTGCTCAGGAGTTCCATACTTGATAAGTCATTGCTCAGGATAATCAGGACCACAAGAGTCATTGTGCTTCTGGAGTGACTTGATATGTTAGGGCTCTGCAATCTGATGTTTCTTAGTGTGTCAAACCCCAGCATCCTAAATCTTAGACCCCAGTTGGCTTGCTACTAACCATAGCATATTTTCAGCATGATGCCCTAAGGGCAGGAAAGGAGCAGAACCAAGATTTAGATGGCACTATCCAGGATCAGAAACACTGGAGGATTCTCCTTGGCTTGCTTGAATTGCAACCCCATAAAGTGGGGATAAACATCTTCATAAATTAATGAGTGAATGATACAGTTTTTCCTTGGGGGTGTGTTCACCATACTGAGAAATTGCTGGAGCCTCAAGGGAAAATATCTGTCCACCTAAACATGTCAACAGATGGAAGTCTTTGTAGACATATTGATATGCTGTTCATAAGCATCTACCAGATCTTTGTGAATCTCCACTGTTCTTCCTGAGTAAGGACATGAAATAGGTCACATACACATACATACTTTGCCTAATTACTATCACATGTCTTCATGAAAGTACACTATCAGACTTATCATGTTCATAGCACAGCCTGCACAATGGCTTCATTTTTGTATCAGGGTCCATTGAACTCAGAACAGTAGTTATTGGGTCAACATGGAATATGTAGGGTGTGTAGCAAACACCAAGTAGCAGCATGAGACATTTAGTATTTTGCTCTACCATGGAAGAGGGATGAAATAAGATAATGATTAGAACTTTCTGAATTGCACTATATTTTTTTATAATTCATTGACTACATACATTCTGCATCATCTGAATTGATTGGATTTTGAAGGAGTGGCGACGTACTGTCGAGAAGATGCTTCTCCTGTGGCAGCTGAACAGGGCATTACAGGTCAACTGGCTGGTGAGAATTCTGACATTGGCTATTGTCAAGATGTTCTGGATGCCTTTGGTATAGAAGATCTGAGAGCTTTAGATGCTGAAGGTCGAACTCTCATCACACAACATCTTTTGGTGCAGTCATCAACCACCTTTTGAATTTTTTGGAATATTAAAAATTCACTCCTATGCCATTGTGAATTGTTTCAGGAAGGAGATGCAATTATGGATGTGATAAATGTGTACTGCCCTCGAGCAGACCCAGATCGTCCACACCGGCTTGAATTTAAGTTGAAGTTCTATCAGGCTCTAGAGCTGAGGGCTAAAGCCTTAGTCAAAGCTGGACATTATGTCCTCATTGTGGGTGATTTGAATACCAGCCACCGCCGCATTGATCACTGCAATCCAGAGTCATACATTGTAAGAATATTTCAATTTATCTTTGCATTTCTGAGATTTTAAGGTAATGCCAGCCATCAGTTGAACATTACAGAGATTCCATATTGGTCCAGCTTCAAAGATGAGCAAGATTAAGACTCTTTCAAGAGAACCTTGTTATTTTTGGTACTGCATTGTGTTAGATTCAGGAACAGAAAGGAAGAAAGCAATGCATTTGTTTGATAAATATATCCATAGATAAATATAGCATCTCTCCTGCCCATATCTCTGGTGTATATCTTGACTTAAAAATAACCTTATATCCATGTGCAGGAAGAAGAGTTTGATGAAGAGCCCTGCAGGCTTTGGTTGGATAAATTTCTCAACGAAGCAGGATTCATTGACACCTTCCGATGGTTTCATCCGGGTCAAAAAAAAGCATTCACTTGCTGGAACACGCAACAAGATGCTCGCATGAATAATTTTGGAACACGCATTGATTATATATTGGCAGATCAAAGCCTTCTCAAGTACTTCAGGGATTCACAGATCTTGTCTGACATATTTGGAAGTGACCATTGTCCAGTGAAAGGATTTTTGGATGTGAACTTTGCCCAAGTGCCCGGCCCAACTTGTCTTCCTAGTTTATGCACCAAATTTTATCCTGAGTTTACTGGCAAGCAAATGACCATGAAGAACTTCTTACAGCAGAAGCACAACTATATGGGACATCATGTGGTACACAGAAGAGTAAAGAAGCAGACCATAATGACCAAGTTTCTTTCCTCAAAGATTCTTCCTGAGGATCATGTCCCTCTGGATGAAATCAAATCATGTCATTACCCCTCTACCCATGAAGAGCAATCGAAAAATCTAGATAATCAGCAAGTATTGTTGTCCATTAATAGGACACCCTCTGTGATAGCATCCCAGTGGAAAGATCTTCTAAAAGGGAAGAGGAGGCCCCCTCTCTGTTCCAAGCATTCCCAACCTTGCTCTCTCAGAACAGTGCGAAAAAAAGGACCAAATCAAGGCAGGCAGTTCTGGTCATGCTCTCGTGGCATTGGACATCCTAATGATGTAGAGGGTCGCTGTGATTTTTTCCGTTGGCTTTCTGACTGTTCAGATTGATGATGAATAAATTGGACATGTCATCACTTTCAATCATTTTACTTGGCTGCCATCTACTTTGCAACTTGATAGAGATGCAGGGGTATTTTACTGATTAAAATCAGGTATTAAGATCATTATATCAGGAAATGGCCATGGATGCTCTGCAACATTAGGTAACCAGTACATTCATGGGTAAGGTTTACCTTTAATTTTAAAACATGGCCTTGAGTGTAATAATCTCAAGTATATGTTTAAATTTTTTTCTGACTTTAAAAATAGAAAGCTGAGTGCCTGATCCAATTCACCCTTTTCATTAAGCCTTTGTCATGGAGGTGACAAAACACCAGGTTTCATGAACTCAGAATTTGGGGTAGTGATGAAATTCCAATACCATTGCATCTCCAGATCTGGGTTTCACAAATGATAATAGCATACAATACACAGAAAAATTAAAACAATATCAATAAAGAACTTGGATCTAATGGGTTATATATCTATTGTTGCTTGATGGCAAGTTTCTTCTTCAGGGACTCTGGCATTTCTGGTGGGGGAGGGCGTGGTAGTCGAAGCCATACTTTGACTCCATCATAGATGAACCACTGAGCAGCAGTCAGTGTACCAATCATGATGATCCTTGGGAAGAGACCCTTCCACAGACCTACAATTAACCAAAAGCAATGGTCAGAAAATGCTGTGGATGATAAGTGCTTTCCAGAATCTCAAAAGATGTCTCAATTATAATACCTCTCATGCCAAGCTTCTTGGCAACATCAACAGCTGTAGATCCCTTATCCTGGTTCAGTTTTGACACGATGGTATCAGCAGGATGGGAAACAATTGCACAGAATATACCAGCAATGTAACCAGCTGCAAACGTGACAATAAGCTGCTCGCCCTTTGAGCATTCATTTCGTTTCTTGGGTACAACATACTTATATAGGGCTTCCACTGTCCTCTCAAAGCATGCAAACTGCAAAAAGAAAAAACATGTCACTGATATAGAAATATGAATTAAAGCTTCTCTTGATAATGTCCATTGTGAACAAAAGGGCTATTATTTTATTTATTTTTTGGACATGTTGGGTTCACTTATTCTGTTTTTCCTCATTATTCAATTTTTCACTCTTCTCATCTGAGGTACTCAATTCCTATTGCACAAAAAAGCCCTGAGACTTTTAAGACTTAAATTACCTCTTTCAAACTTGTTTGGGAGATCTGGCCAAATTGACCCAATGAACCCCACTTGAGCCTCATTATCCTATCAACCCAATTTGGCCAAAAATGACTGACAGTGACTCAAGTTGACCTGAAAAAACAAAAGTGACCTAATTTGGGTCATTAACCCACTTCTTCCTTTGATTCCATAATGGGGATCTTGCAATTTTTTAATTTGTACAGAGTACTAAATAAATAAATATAATAATTATGAGTAAGAACAATCAAGTGTTTGCCAGTTGTAGAATATAAATTGATTCTTCAGACATTTATTTTTATGTGTAAATATAGAATTGAAATTCATAACTGTACTTTCAAATTAACGCATCTATTAGCTTACATAAAATTGCTGGGGAATACATTAAGTAGGGGGGTGAGATATTACATGCATGTTTCAACCCTCTTAGTACCAAGAACCGCCCTCCCTCCTTTTCCTACAAGGATCAAATGACTATACAGGGTGTTCGTAGTTAGACGCAAAATAGGGAATCCTTTGCCGCCTGTATGCGGAGTACCTTCGGCGCCTTAGAGCCCACCGGGTTGCATATCGTGAAGGTGGCCGCCCCCTCTCTAATTTATGGCGTTGTTGCAACGAGGTTCCTTCACGATATGCAACCCGGTGGGCTCTAAGGCACCGAAGGTACTCCGCATACAGGCGGCAAAGGATTCCCTATTTTGCGTCTAACTACGAACACCCTGTATATTGTTAAGCAAAAGAAAACTTGATTTAGTAATATTGTGCAGCCAAAACTGATTCCCATTTCGGGATCATGTGATAGAAAAACATTGAACCACTAATGGGTTGAATAACCTTGTCATCACAAAATCCACTTTGGTAGGTACATGAGTTTCTAGCAGTCTAGACTGGAAAAATGTCCATTCACAATCCATGTATGAGGGACAATCAATAAGTTCTTGCACTTCAGCATAAAAATAACATCTATTGAGTTGATACTTATACTTTTTCAAAGTATTCTCCTCTTCTCTTGATGCAAAGCTTTATCCATCTGAATCAGCTTTCACATTTTTTTTTTACCTGGTTTCCTAAGTAAAGGTTGACAATGCCTTGTTCACTGCTCCCTTTAACTCTTTTGGCATCTAAAGTTTTCTTCCCCACCAGAGCTCTTTCAATTTGGGGGAAAGAATAGAAATCCTCACACATCCACAAATCCACCTCTTTCCGATTAGCACTTTAATGCTGTTGCTTCATCTTATTTTCTGTTGTCTTTTGTTTCTAATTGGTTCTCTTGGGGACTATTCTCATGGGTCCACTTTCCATCACCCATAATGACCTTACCCAATGGTTTATTGATGCAGTGGCATGATAATAAAGAGTGGCCCAAAAACATTGGCCATATTTTGAAGCTTAATTTGTTGGAAAATAGATTTAAAAACAACTTTAACCCCTTCAGAGGCTGACACATTTAAATTTCTGAACTCCTCCCGGAAGCATCAGCCTCCTCCAATGGGTTCTTTTAGAGGCTGATAAGCACTTTTCTTCAACATGGGCTCACCTTCATCATGGTATAAGGGATCTGCCTTCCCCAAAGTGGTACAATTCCTTTGTAGAATCCCCATAGGCCTTCTTCCTTCATGATTATGGGAATTGTTGAGTGAAGTTTACTTGTCCAGCCTGGCTGTGTCTGGATTCGAACCTGTATCCATAACACAAAGAACATCATTCAACTTCAATATTTCAAGAAGTTTCCAGGAATTCCCACTTCATTTGGAGTGGGTATAAAAGATAAAAGAAAAGCTATGGTTCTTTGAAAGACTGACCTGTCTGTTCAACTTTAATTTTACACCTTCATCATCAGATCCCCCCATCCCCCATGAGATTAGGGGATCTCAATCCCAATGTAAGATCCTGCATATAGTTTGAGAAGATGATTCTTAGCTCGACCTCACCACCTGCAATGTTTTCAAAGAGCCAGCCCAGGTGTGAAAGAATGTGTGAGTCTTATTACTTATAAGTCATGAAACAGATTCACAGAGCTCACTCTCAGTTTGTTTGTACCCACTTTTGGTTCTGCTTCAACATCAACTTTGATTAGCCAAAATGAGTTGAGTGCTGTGGTAATCTGGAATTTTTTAAGAATGGGGAGGATGAAAGAAAGAAAAAGAGATGGACTGAGACATTGATATTGGATCTCAAATGGAAGGAGAGAGGAAAGAGGTGAGAACTGAATGATATAGGATGACTTTCCTTGAGGACTCAAGCCCCCTGATTTGCATTGCAGAAATGAGGATACCACAATGGCTTCTGCAGTTGATCACCAGTTACTTATCTGAGAAGTCAGTTTGTTCTCATGAATGGGAAAGCCTCCAACACCTTTGCATATCAAACTGGTGTATTACAGGACAAGGTATTGTCACGGTTCCTCTTTATTTACTTCATTGACTACCTTTGAGTTGTGAATCCCAATTCACATATTGTCAAATATGCAGTTGACACAGTTGTTCTCAGTGCCATCAAGAGTGAGGAGAACATCTAAAACTATGAAGAAGACATCAAATCCTAGTGCGATGGTTGAAAGGACAGAACCTCATCCTAAATCCAGACAAGTGTCAAGAGCTGGTGTTTTCAAATAAGGGTTTAAAAAACCCACTTCTGGTTGAACAGAAGAATTGATATGTTCATGTCACTGGGATGGTCATCTCTGCACCTAACTTGGTCAAGTACCTCAGAATTTACATTGACAATGAATTATGTTTCAGGAATCAGACTGAACAGATCTTCCAGAAATGTTACAGATTATTCTATCCAATGATGAATGCAACCCACTCCATTCCACAATCAACTTTCTTCATCTGCCTCTTCATAGATGCTTACATCATCTCTTGCCTGCATTATGCCCTTCCCATCTATAGCTCATATCTCTCGAAGAAAACCTCTTCCTACATTATGCAAATTCTGAAGCCTATTGCATATATCGGTGGCCAGGATAATGAAGAAGTGAAAGAATAATTTTTAGAGAAAATTCATCTCTTGGGCATTCAGCTAAATGAGAAAATTCAAGAGGATTTCATGCATCCCTTGCAATCAGCATGTGCACCCTTCCACTGTCTTACTGGACCCAAAACAAGAAAGACAGGTTTTCCCAAGAATCTGAATTCACTTATTTAGAAATAGCTTTCTCCAAAGATGCCTGAGAGAATCTCACTTTCTTACATTGTGACAACTTAAGTGATGCAGTTTTTAATTTTCTCTTGATTTATCTCTATTTTTATTGCTATATAAATGTGGAAAATGATGAGCCAAACCTTGGCAAACAAACCTACCCACCTACTACCTACCCTTGCCCATATACAAATGCTCTCTGACCTAATCCAGAGCACATGAGGCTGAGAAGCAGGAAGACCCTCTGGATGGAGCTATAAAGCGTAACTGCGGAGCAGCACTTGCATGAAAAAACCTCTTATCGCCTGCCATCAGCACAGCCCAATGATCCCTGGCTCTGATGCCTACATGCTTTTGCAAGAAGTGCCCCTCAGCAAAGCAGATGGGCTTGTAGCTTGCCAGATTCTCCCACATAACTTGGGAAGATTGTCCTCCGAGGGCTCATAGTATGAAAATAAGCCTCACAAATGGCTATGCCCAGGAAGCTAGGCTTGGCCAAGACATTTAACCTCTTGGCATCATATTTCTTCCAGGAATATTTGTTGTTCTTCAAGTCTTCATTACTTTAACCAGTGTTAACTTGCACCAGTGCTGCTAGGCAACCATACACAGGTTACACACAAACCTTACCACCTGATTCAAATCAAACTTGATGTACCTATCATAATTATAGGTTTTAAAGAAATTTTTACCCAAAGGATTGAAGGAAACTGCCATGATAGCCTATGCCATCAAATGATGGCAAGGAGTTATTAGAATAGCAATCTAATCTCAAAAAAAGAAAATATTAGCTTAATGTTCTCATGTAGCATCATTGAGAGATGGTTTTGACCTAGTAGTATCCCTACATCATTAAAACAGTCACAATGGCAGGCATTGGAATTGCCAAATCCTGGCCATCTGTGACAGGTTTGGGGTGGGCTGAATGTGAATGGGTATCGAATGAGATCAGGAAAATATGAAACCACATCAGTGTGCAGCTGCTAAGCAACATTCTGATAGAACAATATCAAAGACTCCTGACATTAACTACTTTTTTTTTGGGGGGGGGGGGGGGGACATCTGCCTAAATGGAGAAATACAACTGCATGTGAGACATAAATATTTTCTTCATGATATATGGACTGCCTCTCCTGAAGGTCTGTCATAATAAAAACCTGCAGTATTTGTAACATGAGACTTAAACTGATTGTAAGACTAACATCATGCAAGAGTTCCCAGTCCCTGAGAAGTTATTTAAGGCACTCGAGGATGTAAAGAAAAGACTATGATCAAATTTCGATTGCAGGTATAGGCATGACATAGACAAGGATCTTCTAACATGAGAGAACAATGGCATTTTCACCTTGCAAGCTTCCATGGGGGCCAGAGCAATATCAGCAAAAAATTCTGCAGATGCTGATGCAGCCAGATACAAGCTTGTTCGCCACAAAAATGAATTCTCCTCGCCAAGTATATTCCCATAGAGAACCTTGAAGACTTCATATAAGCCAAATTTTCCAAGGCCTTGAAGGGAATATCCAAAGAAAGTGGGTGCCCAGCCACGTCCAAGACCTTTGAATCCATCCTCCCGATATGTTATCCTGAAGCCAGTGGTGATGTTCTTGAATTTGTCAGGATTCACCTGAATTCGACATTTCACCAAGTCAAGTGGAACCAGTGCTGTGTGTGTGGATCCACAGCTTAGAATTCCTCCAAATCCACACAAGGCAAAATACTTAGTTGAACCATACTCGCAGCTGTGACTCTCATCATTCCCTGAAATGTAAGAGACAAAAAATAGAGTTAACAATGTAGCATAGAATTAATTTATCTATTATCTATCTTGACTGAATATGAACAAGCAGACTGAGCCTAGGGTGAGTGTGACTGACATCAGATTCTGGAAGGTGTCCATTCCTTGTCTGTTTTCAAGAATTTCAAGAGTAGTTCAGATGATGACATTCATGACATAACTTATTGTTTTTATCCAGGTCATTATGTAGTTGATGAATGAATGCCCCCACATAGTTTTTTTTAATAGTCATTATTTATTTTTGTGACCAGCCAATTTAAAATCAACTTCCTAGATATATTAACACATGTAGCAATGTGGAAAGCCATAACCAAGGTTTCCAAGATCCTCATCCAATGCCTATCATGATGCAAGTGATTTGCTGTTGTAGCTGATCTTTATTACTGTTGGGCCATGAGGATGGGCTGGATATGGTGAATTCCTTCTTCCTCAATCCCCTTCCTTCAGAAGACCCAAAATTTCAACACCATAATGGTGGTTGGCATGACATTCTTATCAATTTCAGTCAATGTGCTCTGAGGAGAGTCTAATGTGATGTGCAGAAAAGCCCCTCTGGCCCAACTTCCATTTTTGTGGGTCATCCGAAAAGTAGTAAGTATTGGAGATGAAGGAGATGAAACCAACCATCCATGCTGACCTGGAAGACCTGAACAACTTCTTGAGGTATGAGGATGATGCCCCACCTGTGTGAATCCCATCAACCCACTCAACACAACAAACCTCACCTAACATGAAGACCATGAAGATCACAGACCATGAAATGCTCCATCTCCTAAAGGGCCTAAAATCAAGTCAGGCCACAAGCCCAGATGGACTAAATTCATACCTCCTTAAATCTTGTGCCCAAAAGGTGATTGAGCCTCTAAAAATGATATTCAGTCACTTGCACAAAAATATATCTCAAAGTGCTGGAAGTGCATTAAGATCACCCCCCTTCCTAAAGTACCAAAGCCAAAGGAACCTAAGGATTACCGACCAGTGGGAATCACATCCCCTTTGATGAAATGCCTGGAATGCTATCTCCTTGACTGCCTGCAAACTTATGGCATGACAAAAAAGGATCCCTGCCAGTTTGCATATAAGAAAAGCCCAGGTACTGAAGATGCTGTCTTATCCCTTGTAAAAGAAGTGCAGATCAACCTGGATAATCGAAAGCCAACAATTGTCAGATGCGTATTCCTATACTACAGCAGTGCGTTTAACACAATCAAACGCCAGGACATAATAGACAAGCTCATCAACTCTGATGCACCTCCATGGCTCCTGACCATACTGTGTGACTATCTGAACAATGTCACTCAGTATGTATCAACAGGAAAAAAATCATCACTACCCAAACCCTGCCGGACTGGTGTCATACAAGGAGCAGTGCTCTCACCAACACTCTTCACCTTAATCACTGATGACTTGCGCACCAACGTGGAAAGCTGCGTAATACTGAAGCACACATATGACACAGATGTAATAGCAAAAATCTCCAACACTCAAGACACGAAGAGCTATCAAAATCTGATAAATCATATCTTCTCCTGGTAAAAGGAACACTGCCTCATCCTCAACCCCACGAAGTCGCAAGAGCTAGTCTTTTGCTCTAATAAGCTGAAAAACCCAGTTCTTCAGGAGATATGTGAAGAGAAGATCTGCATAGATGGAGCTCCACTCACACCCTGTCAGTCAACCAAGTACCTAGGTGTGATCATCGACCATCAGCAAAACTTTGGTCTTCACATTGAGTATCTGTACAAAAAATGTTACACCCGATCTTTAAGACTGTGCCGAAATTCCAAGGCAGTTGAAGATTTCCTGTGCTTGTGCATTATTCCCTGCCTTCTTTACTGTGCCCCTATCTTTCTGGCACAAGCAAGAAAAGAAGATAAGAAATTTATTCATCGCATCCTTCGACGGCTAGCCCACATCTTGCGCACAACACCTCAAGTGCTGGAAACTAAGGTGATGGAGCAAGTGCAAGCAGCGGCCTCAAGGATATGGAACAATGCCAGTAAACCAAACCACTTTCTGTATAAGGTAACATCAATCTGTGACCTCCGCCACAATTACAACACACGCAAGAAAAGAACCAGCATTCCTGCAGTGAAAGGGCTATTTTCATGAGACTTTCCTGTGCAAGGTCTCAAGAGGTGACCTCATCACACTCTGAAACCTTGGTCCCCTATCTCCTTCTTCTTAGCCTCTAACTCCTATGAATGATTGCTCTGATTTCTGTTTCTAATTTCCTAACGACCTGAACCCAAGGACAATAAATATTATTATTGTTCAACACATGGTGGATTGGTGGAATGTACCGGTTACCCTCTTTCATCCTGACCACATCCTCCCCGCGGGGCTTTAGTGTGGCCCTTCATATGAAGGTAACGAGCAGACGGGATGGAACTGGCCACGTCCCACTAGGTGGCGATACGTGGCTCAGCAGAGGAACTCAGTCCATGGGTGCGGAGGAGCTGCATGGAGGCCAAAAGGACGGCCTTCTGCATGCAGTAGGCCAAAGAGTAAGCTTTAGATCTGCAGACTGGTATTTTCTCCAGCTCTGCCATCAGCGTGTCCTTCATGCTGCCAAGGCATCCCACAATCAGGACGACAAGGTGCACACGGTAGCCGGGATGTTGACCTCGAAGTTCGAACAATAGATCTTGGTATTTCGATCTCTTTTCCTCCTCCTTGCGGGAGATATTCCTCTCTGATGGGATGGAGAATTCGATCACAAAGATCTCCTTGGCAACCACATCAAATAGAGTGATGTCCGGCTTCGTAGCAGTGAGTTGTCTGGTCGTGGAATGAGCATAATTCCAATAGATCTTAACATTTGGACGCTCTACCACTGACTCCACTTCTGCAGGAACCCATGGGATCGTAGGACCTTTGTCGATCCCATAAGCGTGCCTCAGATGGTAATAAAGCACGCGCAGAGCGTTGTTGTGACGACTGATGTAAAGACTTGTCGCATAATGCTTACAGCTGGACAACAGGTGGGAAAGAGTCTCTGATGCTCTACCGCACGCCCGACAGGTGGAATCTATGTATTCCCCAAAGATGGTTCGTCGGTACTCGAAAGTACTGACTGTACTGACTACTGATAACGTACTGATAACACTGTCCTGACTAGCTGCGATAAATCCTTCTGTCTCTGATCGAAGGCCGGCAGATTTCAGTCAAGCATGGCTAAGAGTAGAGGAGAGACCAAGATCTTTTAAATTTCAGAAGAAACTTCCGTGCATTGTCTTCTCCTCATGGACCTGCAAAAGATGGGCTTGCTGGGCCCTTTTTGTCGCTGCGCTGACATAAGCCAGCCACAGTTCTTTCATTGACCGATCCTGAAAGGTGTTGCCAGTCTTAGTGATGTCTAGAGACAGAGATAAGGATTGCACTGATCGCTCTGCAGCTTTCATTAGAAAAGCTTTGTTCCCTGTGAGCTCATGATGGAAAACGAGCTTCATCGGTGGGTCCTCAGACTGAATCACTCTGCAGGCCATTCCCAGGGTTAAGCGGTCGTGCAGATGCTCGAGGCTTAATAAACCCAGGCCTCCCTGATGACGTGGGAGATAGCGTAATGTGCCTAAGTTCGAGGCGTTTTTTTTTCCGGGTATGGGAATATCCATCGCAGGCACTCATTGGCGATGCCATGCTGATTTTTGGTTCATCATCACCTTCACCATCACTTGGTTCTTGAGAGATGAACAGGATGCAAAATTATGGTAATCACACTTTAGAGCATTTATCACATCTCATCATCATTTATCACGTGGCAATCACATTTTAGAGACGAGATTTTGTCAATGAGGTGTAGTGCACCTAATTTCGAGAGGGGTGTCCCTAAGTTCGAGCATAGGTGTTCCTAATTTCGTTATGGTTTGTTCTTAGTTCGAATTGTCTGCATGGTGAACAGAGTAATTTACTGAATGTATTCTATTTGTTTCACGGAGGACACAGATCCTGTTACGCAAAATAATTTTTTATTGGCTTAATTACAAATTGCAGAAGCTGTTAATCTGAAATATTGCGGGATAACACGGGAGAATTTTAATAATTTTTTTACATAGAGATTTGTTCATTTTCAGCAAAGCCAGTGCTGGTTTAGTTCTTTTTTTTTCTATTTTCACTGATTTTGGCCTAGTTTCTCACAGGAACCCTACTGATTGCACTCTTTCTTCCGTTGCGAATGAGTAACGACTGAGCACACTAAGGAAAGTACTTATGCCCCACCTGCATCGGAAGGATAAAATTAATGTTGTATCGTTGATGTAGGTGCAAGAAAACACCATTCAAATGCGAGTACTGCTTAGGACACATTGTAAACGCATCCCTAAAAAAGTTTTAGGCATGTCTTGATGTGCTCAACTCTTGCAAAGTTATTGAATATCCTTTCTTAGTAAATAATTATTCATGGAGCGGGCAATATACTCGATTGTACTCGTTCTGGAAGGCTTCAAGTACCTCCTCATTATTAGTTCACCACTGAATTACACCCCTGAGGGGACCTATGGTGTCATTTGAAGCACATTTGACGTGCATTCAAACATAGTGAGAAGCATTTGAGAAAAAAATTGCCACCTAGAGCATTTCCTGTGGCACGGAACACACAATGCCTCCTGATTGTCAATATTGCTTGAGTTCTGCTATTAAATTTTGGCAGGAAGATTTTGAATCTTAGTAGAGCATTCACATCCATCCACGATTAAACTTACATTCTCTCTTATTCTTTCAAGGGTGGCATTTTACATTTCCCCCCCAAATAACTAAACCCATTTTTCGAATTGCGAAGGAAAACTTCCAAGAATCAACGGACGATCTCCGAAAATTTGAGCTCTTTTCTCATATTCATGAGAAAAGTCAAAAGCTCGTGTCTGTATCAAAATAAAAGCCAGCCCTTCGAATTCATAACCCACCAGGTAAGGAATTTCTGTGGACAACCAACAAGGGCCGCGTCTTCTGAAGGGGCGTTGCAAGAAGCATTCCTGTTATCCCCAGGCAACCTCAGACATCCGACGTACGTCCTCCATATGTGAGAAGTACGATGGATGTTTGTCGTATGACTACCTGGCTCTATTCAGAAAGAATAGAAGCAGAGAGACCCTTCAATGCTTTTTTTAAATAATCAATGTAACGTCACGCCACAAAATCAAGAATACGGTACCACTGTTTTTTTTTTCCATAAATTTCTTGCTTCACAGGAGGAGAAAATGAAAAAGTGAAAACGTGTGCCTGCGGCGTGTGACTAAGAGCCTGGGGAAAAAAATGTTGGCAGGGAGTGGCCCTTCTTGGTTATTTTTTGCTGGGGTGAGATGATCCTTTCAGTCGTAATAAGGTCCGTCTACGCCAAGTGGTCTGAAGTTTTGTTGCAAGAAATTTCTCAAAATTTGCGAATATTGAATCCTATAAATAAATAAAAATGTTTAGCATATTATCAAATCAGCATGGGTGTAAAGAGAAGTCTATTTTTCCCATTTGAATGATACTTAGCAAAGAACATTACTATTTGAGACAAGAGCAGACTTCACATTTTCAAATGTGACTTTCAAGACATGTCACATCTGACAGTCACAAAATAGCCTTTGTTTTCTTTTCGGACTTCTGTAATTATGGAATGACGCACTAATTTCAGACTTTCATTCAATCTATAGAATGAACATAGCACTAAATTGATGGCTCACACTATGAAATAAGTTCTTCATTTGATAGAAAGATGAAATTTCCTACACATATAGTTCCAGAAATGATGTCGAGAATATATTTAAATTTGGTGGATGGCATCCTGGGAGTCTATGTTTGAGATTGGGTGGGGGCATTTCAATATTTTTATGGCTATGTATGGCTACCTGAGAGATTCATGAACATTGCTTTTGAAGGGAATTTTAATAAAATAAAGTAGATCTCACTGAATGAGTAGGATTCTGAAAGGTTTTATATATTGTCTCCTGAATGAATATATCCTAGAAAAGCAGACAGACTGCATCTTCTTTCACGATAATAGATCATTTACTTGTTCTCCCATGAAGTTTACTTTCCCATGGTATTTGTTGCATTTTTCAACATTTTCTCAAATTTTCTAGTTTTTTCCCAGTATGTTCCTAATTTTGATATGGCCTCGAAATTAGGCACATTCCTTTTCCTCACTATATCGACATTAGGAACACGATGGGGTTGTGTTCCTAAGTTCGAGAGTGTCCTTTTGTTCATGATTTATGCGACAAAAGAAGATAGTAACCTAGTCTTATTGTTACACAGCACGAGAATATACGATTGTGTAGCATACAAAGGAGAAATATGTGCAGAGGAAGCTGGAAAAAATATTGAAACATGACTCGCTGAAGTTGCGAGAATGGCACCGACAGCCCAATCATCTGGGCTTCAAGACCTCAGCTCAAGTAAATGAGGGGTACATCCATGCTCCAGGCCCTATAAGATCCCCTATTCGCCTTCTCCACTCAGCAAACGATAAGATAGGACGTGATTGGCAAAATTTTGGCATATAGCTTTGAGTGACGGGTCGAATATGTGCTATCTCGAACTTAGGCAAATTACGCTATATGCGCTGAACTGACGCCTTTGGGTGGTGGCTACGATTGGCGGTGAAGACCTTGCGGGTGGCGATGTCGAGGTCCCTCAGCTCAGTTCTGGTCCACTTAAGGATGCCAAAACTGTAAAACAGGACGGGTACTGCCAGCATATTAGTAGCCATGATCTTATGGATTCCAGAGAGTTGGGAGGACCACACTCTCCAGAGGCGCTCTTTGTACTTGCTGGTCATGGCCCTCTTGATGTCTAGCACGCGATGGCTTTCCCTTTCGGGCAAGCCAAGGTATTGTAGGGCTCAGACGGCGCAAGATGTTTGATCATCGTCCCATCCACGAGCTGGAGATCATCGCCTAGTTCAGTGCATCTGCCTCTATTCAGGTGGAGAGCAGCACATTTGTCCAACCCAAGCTCCATACCGACATCACGGGTGAAGGAGTGAACTACTTCAAGAGCCTGCCGAAGTTGACCCTGGTTACACGCATACAATTTCAGGTCGTCCATGTAAAACAGATGCGTGACCCGGTGCGAGTGGCAGTTTGGTGGACCTGCCATATAGCCTGTCGTCTGCCTCAGTTGAACTGAGAGGGGCAAGAGGGAGATGCAAAACAAAAGAGGGCTCAGGGAATCTCCTTGAAATACTCCCCTTCTGAACTGAATGTAGTCAGTAAGGGCCTTTTTCCTCCCAGATGTTATGGAGAAGCGCGTCCTCCAGACGCCCAAGAGATTTGTTATTATTATTATGTGTTACATGCATTTAAAATACATATCCTGCCGGCCTACTTCCCTACATCAGCGATGGACCTTCCCATGAGGGCTTTCAGTCCACCCTATCATTCCTGGGGGCAGGCGGACAGGTGTGAAAGAAACCCTGACGCCCCCAAGGGCGGTAAGCCAGGGTCCTTTAGTCTGCCAAGTGGGCCCGAAGAACACGAAGAGAGCCCAGGATCACCTGCTTTTGCATGCTTTTGGCCAGAGATACTACTGGCCGACAGGCTGGAATTATTTCCAGTGCCGACAAGACGGTGTCCTTCATCCCTCCGAGGCACCCGATAATTACGACTACGAGCACGACTTTGTGACCAGGATATGATTGTCGAAGCTCGAACAT